GAGAGATTATTGTTTGTCTAGACCAGCAGGGTCGCCAGCTCTTACTTGGGGTCAGTTTTCGGAACTATTTCTGGGGAAGTTTCTCCCAGTCACTCAGAGAGATGCCCTTCGCCGCCGGTTTGAGCAGCTTCGTCAGGGTCATATGACTGTCATGCAGTATGAGACGCGGTTTATTGATCTGGATCGTCATGCTTCTGCTATACTTCCTACGGACAGTGAGAGAGTTAGGAGGTTTGTTGATGGGTTGATCCAGCCTATTCAGGTGCAGATGGCCCTGAGTGCCGATAGTGGTTTATCGTTCCAGGATGCGGCGAATGGTGCTCGCCGTATTGAGATGGCACTTTCTTTGGGTGGAGGTTAGGGGTCTGACAAGAGGCCTCGTCATTTCGGCCGCTTCAGTGGTACCTCATCTGGGGGTAGAGATCCTTATGGTAGAGGCCAGCCTCCGAGGCCTTTCCAATCAGCTCTCCAGACTTCTCAGGGTGCCCCAGGTGGGCGTGGTTCACGGGTTCAGTCCTTCGATCAGCAGTTGTACAGTTCGCCTTCCACACCCATCAGTGCAACTCCTTTGAGATTTGCTCAGCAGACCAGGGCTTGTTACACTTGCGGCGATACTAGACACATCGCCAGGTTTTGCCCCAGAGCTTCCAGCAGTTCGCAGCAGCAGGGACCCCGTCCCATGATTCAGGCACCACCTGCCCCACAGCCTGCCCAGCCAGCTAGAGGCGGGGGCAGAGGTCATAGAGGTGGAGGCAGAGGCCTTAGAGGTGGAGCTCAGACAGCTCGTGGTAGAGGTCAGGTAGTTGTAGATCAGCCTAGAGATGTCATACCGGGAGGTGGGGCCCAGCCCCGTTGTTATGCCTTGCCGGCCAGACCTGAGGCCGAGTCATCTGATGCCGTGATTACAGGTACTATTCTGGTCTGTGATAGAGATGCCTCAGTATTATTTGATCCTGGATCCACTTATTCCTATGTGTCATCATATTTTGCGCCTTGTGCGGTTATGCCTAGTGAGGCCTTGAGTATTCCTGTTCATGTGTCCACTCCAGTGGGAGATTCTATAGTGGTGGACCGGGTCCATCGCTCGTGTGTTGTGGTATTCAGGGGTCTGGAGACCCGTGTTGACTTATTGTTGCTGGATATGGTGGATTTTGACGTTATTCTTGGGATAGATTGGTTATCTCCTTATCATGCGATCTTGGATTGTCATGCTAAGACTGTGACCTTGGCGTTGCCGGATATGCCCCGATTAGAGTGGAGAGGGACCCCTGGTCGTACCACTCGTAGTGTTATTTCTTATGTGAAGGCTCGACGTATGGTCGAGAAGGGGTGCTTAGCTTATCTGGCTTATGTTCGCGATTCCAGCGCTGAGGTCCCGTCTGTTGACTCTGTCCCCATTGTTCGGGAGTTCCCCGAGGTGTTCCCTTCTGATTTGCCGGGCATGCCGCCCGACAGGGACATCGATTTCTGTATTGATCTGGCGCCGGGCACTCAGCCCATTTCTATCCCTCCTTATCGCATGGCGCCGCCAGAGTTGAAAGAATTGAAAGACCAGCTTCAGGATTTGCTTGAGAAGGGTTTCATTAGACCTAGCGTGTCGCCTTGGGGTGCTCCAGTCCTTTTTGTGAAGAAGAAAGACGGTTCTATGAGGATGTGTATTGATTACCGGCAGCTGAATAAGGTAACGATCAAGAACAAGTATCCACTGTCGAGGATTGATGACTTATTCGATCAGCTTCAGGGTTCGAAGGTATTCTCCAAGATTGATTTGAGATCCGGTTATCATCAGTTGAGGATTAGGGCGTCTAATGTCCCTAAGACTGCTTTTCGTACTCGCTATGGCCACTACGAGTTCCTGGTTATGTCATTTGGGCTGACTAATGCCCCAGCTGCGTTTATGGAGTTGATGCACAGAGTATTTAGGCCTTTCTTGGACTTATTTGTGATAGTCTTCATTGATGATATTCTTATATGCTCCCGCAGTCAGGAGGAGCACGAGCAGCACCTCAGAGTGGTTCTTCAGACTCTGGAGGATAGTCAGTTGTATGCCAAGTTTTCTAAGTGTGAGTTCTGGTTGAGTTCAGTGGCATTCT